TCCTTCTGATCCTAGTCTGTTAGGTCTCATCAGGACTGGCTGCTTTGTCTTCCTCTGTGGCCTGGTAAGGCTGCTCCCCCCTCAGGGGGAGGTGATCAAAGAGCAGGCCAATCAGTTCATGTCAGAAGCAGTTCCTGTTTCTTCACTTCTTAAGCTTCCCTTATTCTACCACATGTACTGTTCTGATCTCTCTACTTCTCTCCTCAGGGACTGCCATGTCTCAGATCTGTGGCCTGCCTTTCCCCTCTCACTTGAAATTCAGGTGCATGTTTCTAAGACATTAATGGAGTAGGGCTGGGGAGATGGCTCAGTGGTTAAATCCCTTGCTGTGCAAGCATGTGGACTGTAGTTCAGAAGTCCATAATCCATGTAAATGCCTAGTAGTCAGGAGGCTGCCTGTAATTTCAGCCATGGGAGGAGGAGAAGCTCTGGGTTTATTGAGAGACCCTGTGCCAGTGAATAAGATATAAAAGTGATGCTTTCCTGACATCAAGTTTGAGCCTAAAAATGTCTGTGTAAGAACATGCATGTGTACTCTAAACATGTATGTTCATATATATGTATATAATATGCACATGTATATTATAGAAGAAGAAAACATGAAAAATGGAAAAGGCAAATAAAAGAGAACTATTGAGTTCTATACCTGTTCTCTCATGAGCTTTCCTCCACCTCAGTCCCCAAAATATCCTAGAAGAACTCTGACATTTCCTTTTCCTTTTTTCTAATTTGCCTCCATTTCTAGCAAGAAGATATCTTTCTAGTCTACCTGATTGAAACTTTAACTACAACTTAGTTATCCTCAGGCCATCAGCAGCAGTATAGAGTTAGACTTTAGAGTTAGTCTTCAAAAAAACATAGGAATTTTAAATAAAAAAATTAAATTCTATCTAGAAATATGATGAAAATTGAAGTTGTATCTTAAATTGGTTTTTGTATTACATTTATTTAGTGTGTGTCGTGTGTGTGTGTGTGTGTGTGTGTGTGTGTGTGGTGTGTGTGTGTGTGGTGTGTGTGTGGTGTGTGTGTGTGTGGTGTGTGTGTGTGGTGTGTGTGTGTGTGTGGTGTGTGTGTGTGTGTGGTGTGTGTTGTCTGGTGTGTGTGTGGTGTGTGTGTGGTGTGTGTGTGGTGTGTGTGGTGTGTGTGTGTGTGTGTGTGTGTGTGTGTGTGTGTGTACATGCCATAGCTTATGTGTAGAGATCAGAGGACAACTTACAGGAGTCTGTTCTTTCCTTATATGATGTGGATTGTGGGTCCTGAGGATTCAACTCAGGCATTAAGGCTTGGCAAAAAGTTCCTTTACTTACTAACCCATCCCATAGTTCCAAGCTCTGACATTTATCTTATTTGACATTTTTTTTTCAATGTTGACAACTTTTTAATTTCTATTTATCTATTTTATTTTTATTAATCTTTTTTATTAATTACAGTTTATTCACTTTGTATCCCAGCTGTAGCCCCCTCCTCCCTTCCCTCCCAATCCCATCCTTCTTCCCTCATCTCCTCCCATACCCCTCCCCAAGTCCACTGATAGGAGAGGTCCTCCTCCCCTTCCCTCTGACCCTAGCCTATTAGGTCTCATCAGGCCTGGCTGCATTGTCCTCCTCTGTGGCCTGGTAAGGCTGCTCCCCACTCAGGGGCAGGTGATCAAAGAGCTAGCCATTGAGTTCATGTCAGAGTCAGTCCCTCTTTCCGTCATTTGGAAACTGAGTTGCCATGGGCTTTATCTGTGTAGGGGTTCTAGGTTATCTTGATGTATGGTCCTTGGTTGGAGTGTAAGTCTCAGAAAAGACCCTTTTACCCAGATTTTTTTTTTTTTTTTGGTTTTGTTGCTCTCCTTGTGGAGCTCCTGTCCCCTCCAGGTCTTTCTATCTCTACCTTCTTTCATAAGATTCCCTGCACTCTGCCCAAAGTTTGGCTGAGTCTCAGCATCTGCTTTGATACCCTGCTGGGTAAAGTCTTTCAGAGGCCCTCTATGGTAGGCTCCTGTCCTGTTCCCTGTTTTCTCCCTCTTCCATTGTCCATCCCATTTGCCTTTTTTTATTATTATTATTATTATTATTATTATTATTTTCTTTTTAGTTACATTTTGTTAACTCTGTGTCCCAGCTGTATCCCGCTCCCTCATTCCCTCCCCAACCCCACACTCCCTCCCTGGTCTCCTCCCTGCCCCTTTCCAAGTCCCCTGATAGGGGAGGACCTCCTCCCCTTTCATCTGACCCTGTTTTATCAGGTATCTTCAGGGCTGGCTGCAAAGTCCTCCTCTGTGGCCTAACAGACTGCTCGTCCCCGGGGGGGGGGGGTCAAACAGCCTGCCCTTGAAATCCTGTTAGAAATAGTCCGTGTTCCCCTTACTTTGGAAAACTACTTGGTTACTGAGCTACCATGGGCCACATCCGAGCAGAAGATGAAAGAAGGGAAGTTAGTATGATATGGAAAGGATAGGAGCTCTACAAGGACCAAACATATCTGGGCACAGGGTCTTTTCTGAGACTGACACTCAACCAAGGACCATCTATGGATATAACCTAGAACTTCTGCTCGGATGTGGCCCATTTGCCTTTCTGAGTGAGGATTGATCATCCTACCCAGGGTCCTCCTTCTTGCTTAGCTTCTTTAGGTGTACAGATTTTAGTATGTTTATCCTATATTGTATATCCAATATCACTTGTAAGTGAGTATACACTGTATGTGTCTTTCTGCTTTTGGGTTACCTCACTCAGGATGATGTTTTCTATTTCCTACCGTTTTGCTGCAAATTTCATGATTTCCTTGTTTTTAATTGCTGAGTAGTATTCCATTGTGTAAATGTGCCACAATTTCTGTATCTATTTGCTCAACCATGTTCATAGCAGCTTTATTTTTAATAGCCAGAATCTGGAAACAACCCAGATGTCCCTCAATTGAGAAACGAATATCTATATTATTTTAAACGTTTTGTTGGTTCTTTGTGAATTTCATTCATATTTAAAAATAAATTTATTATAGCTATCTCACCAAGCTAATATGTTATTTGCTTATAAATCTGTTAACACCTATCCATACAACCATTTATTTATTTACCCATTTGTTTGATATAAAGATTTTTTTTTAATTTTCTTTTTCTTTTTAGTTACATTTTGTTAACTCTGTGTCCCAGCTGTATCCCGCTCCCTCATTCCCTCCCCAACCCCACACTCCCTCCCTGGTCTCCTCCCTGCCCCTTTCCAAGTCCACTGATAGGGGAGGACCTCCTCCCCTTTCATTTGACCCTGTTTTATCAGGTATCTTCAGGGCTGGCTGCAAAGTCCTCCTCTGTGGCCTAACAGACTGCTCCTCCCCTGGGGCCCATGGTAGCTCACATCATGCATTTTAATCCCACTCATCGCCACTTCTCTTCATACCCGTCCTCCACCCTCACAACCTCTCCCACCTCCACAGAGAAAAAAAAATTCCTTTTGTAAGTTATAGTGTGTCACAGCATGTCCCACCCTGTACCCTTTTTCCCACATGCCTTTGCTTGCAAATGTTCATTGCAATGATTCCTTGGTCTGGTATGAGGCCTCTGGCTTCTGCTACTCTATCAATACTGGAACCTCACTGGGACTCCTCTCAGATATCCTTTTGTTGTCCTGTGTCATGGAAATACTGTAGTTTCAGATCTATAGGACCTTCCTTTCTAGCGGTTCGTCAATGGGGTAGATGTTGGGGAGGGCCACTTCAAAGTCCTGGACTTGGGCTTGTGAGGTGTCTGGGCTGAAGAGCAAGCCAACTCTCCTGCTCTCAATTCCTCGGGGCCGGCTCATCAGCAACCACCACAACCAGGGCCAGCTCTACCCTGCTACCCAGGTGAGGTTCAGGGCCTGCTATTTTGAGTGTTGCAATCAGCAACGGACATAGCCAGTTCTCCTACTCTCATGACCTTGGGGTCAGCTTTTCCACCTGCCATAGGTGGAAGGAAATGAGGGTGGGGAGGAGGGTGTCTCTCAGCCATCCTTGCCATCTCCCAGCAGACAAGAGGCAGGGCTGGCTCACCTGCAACCTCTACCTCCGGGGCCATCTCTACTGTGCTGCCCAGGTGAGGTGCAAGGCCTGCTCTCCCAAGTGCTGCAGCGGGTGAGGGGCCACACCAGCTCTCCTGCTCTCATGACCAAGAAGCCATTTCATCTGGCTGCTGTAGGTAGCAAGGGGTGACAGAAGGCGAGATTGCTTCCTCACCCATGTTATCATCCAAGTGATGAAGCCATGTCTCCCATGCTCATGCCCTCAGGGCCAGCCCACGTGGGCCCCTGCCACCAGGGTCAGCTCTACTGTGCTGCCCAGGTAAGGGGCATGGCCTGCTCTTCCAAGTATTGCAGCTGGCTTGGGGTGGGTTTAGTTTGCCTGCTCTCATGACCCCAGGGTTAGCTCGCTCACAATGCCCAGATGAGGGGTGGGTACTGTTCTGCACAGCCCTCAGCCATTGACACATTCCTGGGCAGCAGCTTAGACCAGGCATGTGTGCCTGGCCTTCCGTGGTAACAGACTGCTGCTGCAGGACCATGGACCCAGATGTGGCCTTCGGTGGCAGCACAGGTCAGGATCCCACTATGGTCTCAGGTGGCATCACTAGCTACTCACATCATGCTGTTTTTCCATCCTCTTAAATCTCCAGTTCTGCCTCTGTTCATTGTGCCCACATCCTTCTGTTTCTCTTTCTCTTCTACTTCCCCACCACTTACTTGCTCCTCTTAGTGGTGCCTGGGCTCTCGGAGTGTCTGGGGTTGTTTTAGGAGTGCTATGTCCTTCTTGTACAATGTGGCCCCAAGCAGGGGTCATCTCAGGCATGACCTGCCTTGCCTCAGGACTGTGTGGTGCCTTTTTGGTGGTCTCCACCTTGCTTCTCACCCTGCCTGCCTAAGTGGCCTCTTGCAAGGGTTGTCTGTCTCAGGATCACTCCCACTAATCTCCAGCTTGCACCCTGTCCTGGGAGCCTGTCTGGGCCTGGTGGGCACCAGACTAATGGATCAAGTTTTCCAGGGAATGCTAGGCTACTAATCATCCAGATGTTTGCAGGTTAGAACACTGAGCAGAGACATGACCTCTCTCCTCCTTGCCACGCACTGACACACGTGTGGCACAGCAGCCACACCTGCAGTGCCTTTGGAGGCAGGGAAGACTTGACATTGGTGAAATTGAACATAACAAATAGCCCTGTGTATTGGATGATTATCTTGCTGTTAGAATATGAACGGAAATTGCTGCAAAAGGTAAATATAAATTGTCAGATATCAATGCTGAGTGAATAGCTGAGATATTTAAAGGCAAAAACGTGGTTGACATGTGTTTAGCTGAATGCAAACAGCAGATATTGATGATCCCTCTTTAAAGAGAAAGCAATAGAGCCTAAGAAAGATTAGACAGAGAAATCAAGCTTTCTGTTTTGCTCACCTGCCAGGTTTTCCCCAGAGAGGAGAAAAGGGGCAGAAAAGATGAATGTGCTGCCTTTTGGTTGAGGCAGGGCAAGGTACTGTGGTGGCTTAGACAAATTCATAGGAAAATGTGCTGGTTGTAGGTGAGATAAATTGATTCATAATAACACAGTGATGTCATAGCCTGGAAGCCTGCAGCTCTGCCCGGAGCCTCAGCAAAGGTTGCCCTACAGCTGGAAGAGAATGCATTTACCCACTACTTCAATTCATGCTATTTTCGATTGAATGATGAAATTAGGATTCAGCGATAAATATGTCTTCAGGGGATAGACTAGGTGTGCGCTCAGTTCATTGGCAGTCTGATGAGAAATTTTACTGCACTCCATGTCAGGGGTTAGGCAATAAAAGCATTTCACTTTGAGGTTAAAATCCATTTCAGTCAAGTGGAATGCAAATGATTACATCGCAGGACCAACTCACAATTTTCTGGTTTTAGAGAAGGCAAAATTGTAAATGAAATTTAGGTTATAATAACAATTTAAAATAATGATAGACATGGAGTGTTACAATTGAAAAAGAATTTACATCCATCTAATTTACTCAGAGAACTGGGGCTGAGTACAGTCAGGAGACTTGTTTCAGGCCAGGAGAGTAAATGGCTAAATCTCAGCAAGACCTTGAGGATTGGCTGCTGCTTCAATGTTCTTTTTGTCACCACAGCCCTGACCGCTCCCTACCCTACCTCTGAAGGAAAGTCTACTTTTAAATTTTCTCATCTCAAGCTAGTGACTTTGATATTTCAGCTGCTTTGAAAGTTTTTTTTTTAAATAGCTTTGATCCATTTATCTTTCTCAGATTTAGAAGATTTCTTTAAATAGTGACATTCCTTGTTAATATTCATGCCCTCCTACAAAACCATAAGTCAGCTTGGAACAGTGCATTCTTTCTAGAAAACTTATGAGAACATGCCTCTTCAGTTGAAGAGCCATTTTATGACAATTAACTTTGTGACTTTTAGGACTTTCAGCAAAGCAACTAATGTAAGATGATCCTTATCATCTGCAGCGAGAGCAAAGGGAAGTTCAAGTAACTTAGTATCCTGTATGTCCCTGCTGTGCCCTTAACACATTCTGTCTTCTAGAATCTTCTTCAGTGAAATACTCCACTGGGTGTTAGCATGTGTTGTGCCTTGAGTGAAAAGAAGTAGAAACAAGAGAAAAAAAAAATAGATAAATTTGGAAGATGTGGGTGTTTAGGAATTTACTCTCAAAATCTTCAATTTTCTTTAACTAATATGTTCCGAGTGCTGAATTAATTAGGAATGATTCCCATATTCAAGTCATTTTATTTTTATAACACCTTTACAGTTATAGTGAACACACACATTCACACAGACGCAGAACACTCACTCATATACACATAACTACACTTACACACACCCACTCCCATACACACCCATTCACATACATACACACATACATACACACACACACACACACACACACTCATACACACACATTCACACTCATACAATCACACACACTCACTCATGCGTAGACACAAACAGACACACAGGCAGATACACAGACACACAGACACATAGACACACATAGACACACATAGACACACATAGACACACATA